ATTAGTGATGCTGAGCCTGAATGAAATAATGAGATTTTCGATGAGTTGTAATTGGATCGATGTCGATACGTTAAGTTGTGGAATTCTTCGTTAGATATTCCGTTGATTCGTGTTGTTTGTGGAACTCTTCGGTAGATGTTCCGTTGATGCTTGTTATTGGTGGAACTCTTCGGTTAGAGATTCCGTCGATGTGTGTTGTTGTGGAACTCTTGATGAGAAATTCCGTCGATATGTGTTGTGGTGGAACTCTTCGTTAGAGACTCCGTGGAACTCTTGGTTAGAAATTCGGCGTTTTGTGCTAAGATCTACCCTTAAATAGGTGGCTGTAAGGGTAGCGTCGGGGGATGAGACACGCGGATTGGTTGTTTCCTAGAGTTACAAGTTTTGGACAGGGAGGAGGCCGTTTTTCCGGATTGGTGACAGTCACCGGAAAGTTGACCGCCTCCAAGTCCATCAGTCACCTGCACGTATCGAGAGTACCTTCGCGTGACGTCATGGAAATTCCGAGTGCCTCGACCGTAGCAGGTAAAAAACTGTATGAAGCGCCTTAACCCTAATAAAACATGCAAAGAGTAAATATCTAAAATGTAAAAATGCTAATCCTCGAACAGCTGAGGGTGGTTGTTGAAGGTAATGGTCGATGGCTTCATGAAGTTATTTGAGCTACGATCCCTTGAAAGATTTAGAGGAACGTTGACGTAACGGTGTTTCAGTTCGGGACACCGAGCGTCAACAATTACTTAATTAAATTCTTTAATTAACTGTAATATAGTTCAATCGCAAGACTGATAATGAAAGTAAATGATATAACAAGACATTCTGAAGTCAATTTTGATACGAACTCAAAATTGGAACAGGGGAAAGTGTAATTGCCTGCTATCAGACCTTTTGAGCGTACGAATGGTATTCCTGTGTCACCAGTGCCTGGCGAAGTGGCAAATAGAAAGTATTTTGGGAAGTTTGTTTCGTTGGAAGCTTTCAGACGCGTCTCTGCCCGAGAATTTGTGGGCGTCAGACGTTGTGGTTCAATAGTGCCGTATATTCACGTGAATTATTTCGGCGACTCAAATGTTATTACGTCTTTTTGTTGTTTTAAATGAACACTCCAGTGAGTTCGTCCTTTTTTTCAAGGCACAAATGGAATCTCCAGAATTTTCCTAAACTAATTCTATTTGACACCGTATGAGTAAATTATTAACAGCCTTAGAAACACTTTTTAAAAATTTTAAACAATTTTATTCGAAAAATCACTGTTGAGGAATAAACAATGAAAATAGTGAAAAATATATTTTTATAGATATTGATTTTAATGCGTTATTGTTTTGTATGTGAAGTGTATTTTATAAATATAGAATTTTAAAAGATTCTACTCCACTCTGTAGAATATTATTATTTATATTTATTGACGTATGCGAGTAGGACATTTTAAACGTTTTAAACATTACTACCACGCAACATGATGTAATCTAATGTACCTAATATTTAATTATCACATTGTGCTATAATATATTCTTCATTAAAATGTATCTCTAATCGTTTTACATCCTCAACGAATAAAACACACATTCATACCCCATAAAAAGTAATTGGACCGTAAAACATTAATTGCATGCGTTATTTATGTTGTTTCTGTTTACTGCTGTGTAGGAGAAGCCTCTCACTCAAAGTAAATAATTTTAATTCAAAGTCTGAAACGCATTTTAGAAAAATATAACTATCATTTCGTAACTATTTAAATAATTTAAGTAAGCCACATGTGTCTGTTTACTAGACGTCTGTATAGAAATGTATTCTTTATTTTTAGGGAAAAAAGGTTTAAAATCAATACTATTAATAATAATATTCGACATTATCCTCCAACAATGCACACCATTTTTATCAAGAATAAAAGACAAAAGATCTTGATAATGTAACATTATTTTATTGATTCTCCAATAAATATAGTACTTAATACTGTTACAGTAATTCTCCTTTAGTTCAATAAATCATTTAATAAAATGTCAATGAAGTATTCACTTCGCGAAATTTTAATACTTGCGAGTGTGCCTTTAAATAGACCAAATTAAATCGTTTAATACTAGAACTACCACAACCTTCAACATAATGGGTTTCAGTTTTCTCATCTCACAATTACTGATATCCTAAAAGTGCTAAATATTCGAAATTATCTTAAAAATAAATAGCTTCATTTGAATACTATGAAACCGAAAAGAAATCTGTTGTTACAATTTTTATAAATATTACATATTAATCGTATTAAACGCTCGGTAGTTCTACGGTTAACAAATAAATTGCACAAGCCTTCAAACGTACTAAAATGAAACGGAGATAATGCATGAGAGTGCTTTAATGATTCTTGCATCCCCTAAAGTAACCTTAACGGCACGACGATCGCGGCGAAGATCAATGGAGCGCATTCCCGGCTCTAAATTTCATCGGGGCTTCAATTAATCTCAATCCAGAGCGTCGTAACTCAGAAACTCTGCCGGAAAACGCGACAGTGACGATTGCGTCAAGAACCGCAACCGACTTGTTCTCTTTTTCCCACGAATGGTTTTCTTTTCTGAGAAAGTGGAAGTGCAGTTTTAACGAGCGTAGGCCCGTAACATTGCGTACGCGTCACCTACGTTCCATGTAAATCATGCGTGTCGTTATCCTACGCAATGCGCGCCGCGGAATCGTCCAATCTACGTCGTAAAAAGGATAACGACGAAACGAGGGACAACCCGCTCGAACCACTGCTCTAATATATCACAATTAATACGAAATTGAAGAAATGAACGCTTCGGTCGCTAGCTAAATCGAGAAGCACGAGACCTGGAATAAAATAAAATTGCGTACAGTGCCAGTCAAAAGTTTGCGAATCCTAGTGTTGTTTTATCCCCTCTTAATATTTTCAGCGGTATTTAAAATAGTTTGTGATACATTTATGCTCGAAGAAAATTCAGACATATGAGACATTTTGAGACATATTTCAAAAACAAAAATAGTTTATTCGGAAGGATTATTTATGTGAAAATTCTCGTGTTTCTTCGAAGAAAAGCTTCTTTATTACAGAGGTAGAAAGTTCTAATGAAGATATGAAGATGACTTTGATAAGAGTAAAATTTGATAAACTCTCTTGGAATGTACTTGGAATTGAAAAAAAAATTTAAGCAGTAATTCTTCGTGGCAATTTCAAATAAGAATGAAAAATAAGCAAATTATGGTTTTACAGTCAGGTTTCTGTTTCCGTATTGATGATAATTATGATTATTTGTGATATTTAATGATGATTACTTGTCAATAAAGCAGACTTTTAAAAAAACAAAGTCTGTTTTTGAATTCCTAATACGCCTCCATCGAAAAGAAAAATACACATACTATATAATGCACTTCGAAGTCATGTAACTCTTATATACAGCAACTTTTCATACGACGGTGGAATTTATTCAAGGCGATCAAGTTACGATGTCCACCCAATATGTCTACTTCTTAGAGACGAGCATGATTATTAATTGCATAAAATCTGTCGAGTATCAATTAAACTTTAAAAATTCTACAACCACGTTTCACATGAGCAATAAAGAATTATTAATTCTTGGAAGTTACTTACTAGAAACAACCACAATTAAGTCTATAATAATTTTTATTTGAATGAAATAAAACATATTTAATAAAGTCTTATGGCCCACTAACTAGAAGGACAAGAGATTCCATAGAAACTATAGAAACAAATCTCTAAACTTCACCATGAATCTGATTGGATATTGCAAGACAACAAATTGAAGATATTACAATTAACTAATTAATTTAATCACCTGATTATTTCTCGTTAATATGATTAATACATTAGATATTAGAAAATAGAAACTAAAAGAATGATAGACAATAAATACTAAAAAATATTTCTCGATTCTCTTAATTCAAATATTCTTAAATTACAAACTGCAATAACCAAGATGGTTTTTTCTAATAATCGATGACAACATATTCATCCAAATACCTGATACATCTGATTCAAGATTCAATTAAAATATTCTTAAATGATAAATTGCAATAAGAAAGATGATCTTTTCTAATAACCAATAACAATATATCCATTAACGTATCGACACATCTGGTTCAATATTCAATTCAAATATTCTTAAATTATAAACTGCAATAGTCAAGACGATTCTTTCTAATAATTGTTACTGATAACAAAATATCCGTCAAAATATCGATCTACCTGATTCAAGATCGTCGTGATCAGCTCCGCGAAGGCAGGAGTGAAAGCTGCGGGACAGTCGTCGACCGCCGGGCGACGCGCCCTCCGTCGAGACGTTGTGCATCTTCCGGGCCGATTTCTTTCACTGGAACCGCCCAAAGAAGCTCCTCTCTGTCTCTGTCTGTCTCTCTGTCCCTCCCTCCCTGCCAGGTCGTCAGGTGGGACCGAGGTGAAGCGAGTGCCACGGCATATTTTTTTTATTTTTGCGAGCTGCTTACGGCGACGAGCACCGGGCTAATTAAGGTCTAATTAACGGGTAACTACGTGCGATCGTTAGGCGGTTGGATGCGTAGGCGTGGACGCAGCTCGCGGCCAACCTCCTCGCTTCTTTTCGCTCTAGTTCGCACCTGCAAGGAAAATCAAAGTTGTCCGACGACTGGCCGACGCGAGTTATCCGCGAGCGTTCTCCAAAATGGCGACACCGGGGACCGACACCGTTAATGCTGTGAACGTGAGAGGTTGCAAGGCAAGATTCAGCGACCAGAAAATTCTGTGGAATTTTATGGAATTGATCCTTGAATTTTCAAACATGGTTTAGTTTAGAATTGAAAGTTTGAAGTTGAATGTTGTAGGTTCGAATTTTGTAAGTGATTTTATGAGATGCAGTTTATATACAGTGATTTTTTAAGACGTAGCACTGTTTTTAATGGGGAAAATGTTTATGAAATAATTAGTAGGCTATCAAGGTTAATCAACCATCATTTTGTATTTAATATTTAGAATATTGTGTAGGTAAAGTATAGAATCTATAGAATATAATAGATAGAAATTTTTGTCCAAAGATAAAGCGTTAATCTGTTGTCCATTGTTTTTTGAAGATATAGGAAATGATTGAAAGTGGCGTTAATCTATTTTCCATTGTATCCAACAGTAAGGGAAAATAAAATTCAAATGTTTATTTTGCGTGTGTTCATATAACTCTTAAACGACATGTATGTAAAATTATTCTATAAAGATCAATATAGAGAATCAAACAATTTACTTAATTAATCATTAGTATATTATTATTACTGTCATTTTATTCTTAAAGGCGAGAATCATCTGAAACTTTTATCATAAATGCAGCAAAAAATGTTAAAGATCAGTAGTTTGGCTTTGAAATAGTCAGACAAAATAAACACTACGATCATTATATAATTCAAACTACTGCAAATCAGATTAGGCCAAGCCAATAAATGGTAATTAATCAACACTATGTAACCCATTCATTGTGAAAAGTTTGTCTCTTTCAAATTTGAATATTAATTAAAACCAGAGTTGGAGTTATTCGAATTACGTCAAACAAATATTTGTCCAACAATAAGAAAATTAGTCTAATTACTCAAATACACACCGTTTACTCAAATAAACTATCACTTATTCATCTAAATTAATATTACCACCACATACATTCATATTCAACCAATTTTATCGACTCAATTTATATCAAAATAAATTCTTATCAAGATACTATCAAAATAAATTCATACTCGATCAACTTCGTCCATTGATGCAGAATGCAATTACATTCGAATAAAGTTTCATTCCTTTCATTCTCAAATAAAATTTTATTCGTTGCTCTTATCTTTCATCTAATGGCCGAATAAAATTTCGCCTAACCATTGGTTTCGTAGTCCACTTCTATAAAACATGAGGGAGACATTGATCGACGCCGCGGAACGCAAGTGCGTTAAAATTTTTTTCAGGGATCATTGCTGCGCCTGTATACGGTTTACACGGGTCACCGAGTATGGTGAATCGAAAGTGTAACCCCCCGATAAACGTTTTCCCTTTGTGGCCGCGTATATGGAATCCTGGACACTAGGAAAAGTGCACGAGGTGGCCGGTGAAGAAATAAATCACCAAGAGACTCGGGACCCACAATTTGTGGGCCATCTGGTAGAAACGTATTGCACAATGAAATGCGTCGAAAGAACAGTTCGGACGTTTATGGTTGCGTCTATAGGTACGGTTCGATAGCCTTCGTTGAAACAGGTAACCGTAGAAATGTTGCTCGAAGGTAACGAACTGTAATACATAAAGTTCCGATAAGTATCTAAACGTCCGCACTTGTGTTAATCGTGTGATTTTAACCGGATCGAGGTGGAACACCTTTTAATGTATTTATTAATACGTATCATTTTTGTATCAGCTACGTAAATGAAGATTACTGTAAAAGATATGAGAGATATTTAAATTTCCTCCACATTTGAAGGATAATTCATTGAACATGTGATTACATGGTTGTAGTTAGACTGAGATGAAATTTGTTTGAAAAATTTGTATAAATCTAGACAACTTTTATATAACACAAGTGAAATAAAAATTGTTAGAATAAATGTTCTACATAGTTTATAAATTTTCTATAAGCATGAAGGATAATTGATCATTCACACTTCACGAGAATAGTAAAACTAATTTTATACATTCACTGCGCTACGTTAATAAGTAAAGTAAAAATGGCAAAATTCACAGTAACATTTTAACCATAAGAAATACATTTTACGTCCCCTGTTTAATAAATTATTCCATAAAATCATGAATTTCCTTGAAGTTTCATAACCGACGCAAAAAGCCAAGATCGATATTACATTCTTATGCAGAGCAACAATAGATTTATAAAAGTTACACCCACATTAATTCACACTTAAGGTCTACCAGAATGTTTTGTCTGCTAATGCCATCTCAAGTTTCCAAAGATGAGTCATTCAACAGAAATGAAATCCACAAATTACCATCACGCTGGGAAGAGGTCATCAATAACGATGGAAGTCATATTATTCAGTAGACATTAATAAATGCATTGAAAATGTATTACCTTTTATTCAAAAAGGAACACAACTTTCCAGTAGATCTAATATTCACATCGATCGTAATCAATATCATCATGAACAATACACAATAGAAGCCTCTAAGACGCAATTCAAACATTCCGTGTTACAGCGATTACATGTTTACGAATCTCGCGTTAACATTAAAATTACCGAGCAATTAAACTGACTTTTTGAAATTCCTCTATAGAAATTCCAAGAATGCATCTATTGAGACTTCAATTAATTTGTAATTTAAATCAAACTAATAGTTTCTCTCAGAAAGACCCGTTATTTTTTCAATAATTCCTAAAAGAAGAAATCACGAATGGGTAATTTTGACCCGTCCAGTAGTTTTAGAATGAAATTCCTCTTTTCGATGCTGATCCAACTTCGCTCCCTATTTGTATTATTGGGTCGATTCAATTTTTACGTTTTCTATACGAGGTTAACAAAAAAATAACATGTATGTTCAAAATGTTATAACTTGTATAAAGGACACTTCTTTCTTCGTTTTTACTTAGTTTTAATTTAAACAGCAAACAGTTGAGAACTATTCTTTTCATTTCTCATAAAATAACGTCAAAGCTTTTGCATCAACCTAATACTTTCTTATGAAGAATCTCACTTTTACAGTTATTTTACTCAATTAAACGACGATTATTTGAAAACATTTGTATATTGAAGTAATGCTACCTGATGTGGTGATATTCAGTTAGATGAGCATGCAATAATAATAACGTACTTCAAGCAAATGATTTAATATTATATTTTATCCCTTTTGTGTATTTTGCTCTATAAAATTGTGCGGCATTTAACGTGTTAATTACGTTATTGGGGGTTCTACTGCAATTCCGATATGCGCCGCGTGTTTCTGTTATTATATTATTTTGTAAGCGTTACCTGACGTGCGCGCGATTGGTTAAACACATAATTTATGCTCGCGTCTCCCGCTGGTCAACGTGTGTAGGCCCGCGCGCCGCGGCGCGGTGGTTCGTAGGTGTGCGTGGGCGTGGTGCGCTTTTTAAATAGGCCTGCAGACTAGCTCGTAATTAAAGACCGAAAGGGAGAAAGATAAGTTTCGATTTCAGCTCTCGAGGCATCGCGGTATTTTCTGTTGTGGCCGCTAGTAATGATCTTACGAACGGCGCTCGTGCACCGCGAATGCAACAAATCAGGGATGCACTTTATTGCAAGGGAATTTTATTCAATCGATTGTTCGGACGGGACTTTTATTTTATTTTTATACTTGTTATGTTACTTCACTTTGGGTAATTGAGTAATAATTTACTGTGGAACCTCGATTTTCCGATTTAATTGGGCGACTAAGAGCGTAAGTCCAAATACATGAAGACTCGAGTGGAAACTTTTTAAAATAGATTTGTAAAGGCCGGTCGCTTGCATTTCAAGGTATGATCTAAATTGTCGAATTAATTGAGTTTCAATTATACCAGGATTCCAACTAAATTAAAACACAAGAAATAGTACCTCGATTAATTAATGTTTTACTGTATTTAAGGGATATGTTATTTTGATATTCGTTTATTTATTTGGGCTTTGTATGTTTATGATTTGATTGTATTAGGAAGGAAAAGATATTTTTCTATGATGTATGGAATGTTTAACAATCTTTGATGTTAATTAGTAATTAATGATGTCTATTTTAAATACAAGTACTCGTATTCTGATTCTTATATCTCGATGTATATATTCGTACAATATTATTAACCTGATTGATAACAATTTAATACAGTAGATAAATTATTTGGAAATAATATGCTTTCCAGAAGATCTCTGAATTCGTCTACGTACAGTTACATGTACTTCTTCGTTTATTATTTCATTTGAAATAAACAGTACGCAATCCTATAACGAACACTACTGAAAATATAAAATTGAATACTTGAACGATTAAACATTCCACAACACCTATCCAACTCATAAAACGTTTGAAATTACGAATTTAAATCCTGATATCTAGACATATTTCTGCAAATTATGCACTGATCGTAGACATGTCTATAAACTCCTATTTTCATAGACTGTGTCACAGAAACAGTGCAAGAAAAAATATCATTCGACGGTAATGAGGTTCGTTGACTTCAAAATGAAACAGAAAATTCATTAACCTTCGATAAACATTTTTCCTTTCTATATATTTTGCACAGTTGTACGCGCTACAAATGCATAAAAACCGCAATTCTTAAATATTTGTTGCGCTCTCAACCGTTGATAAATATTCTCTAATTATGGTAAACGGTTTCAGTGTAAATTTCGATTTCTACGTTACTCGGCCTTTCTCTAAACTAATTATGTATATATCACAGACATTTATATAAGATCTCACTACATTCGATTAAATCAAACATGAAATGGAAAATCCATTGATCTTCGACACGCATTTGTTGTTCGGAATACATATGCCTGTGTATTATAGAGTTGCACACGCCATCGGTGCATATCATCGGCGATACAATTTATTATCTTTAAATTCGTTTTCTGAAGCCACAGCTGTTGCTAGCCATTCATTAATTACGGTTAATTATTCCGGTATAAAT